GTCTCCGGCGGGTACGTTGCTGGAGCGGTGGTCTCGGGTGCGTATGTCTCGGGAGGGTAGGTCGACGGCGCGGTGGTCTCAGGCGAGTACGTCTCCGGCGGGTACGTTGCTGGAGCGGTGGTCTCGGGTGCGTATGTCTCGGGAGGGTAAGTCGACGGCGCGGTGGTCTCAGGCGAGTACGTCTCCGGCGGGTACGTTGCTGGAGCGGTGGTCTCGGGTGCGTATGTCTCGGGAGGGTAGGTCGACGGCGCGGTGGTCTCAGGCGAGTACGTCTCCGGCGGGTACGTTGCTGGAGCGGTGGTCTCGGGTGCGTATGTCTCGGGAGGGTAGGTCGACGGCGCGGTGGTCTCAGGCGAGTACGTCTCCGGCGGGTACGTTGCTGGAGCGGTGGTCTCGGGTGCGTATGTCTCGGGAGGGTAGGTCGACGGCGCGGTGGTCTCAGGCGAGTACGTCTCCGGCGGGTACGTTGCTGGAGCGGTGGTCTCGGGTGCGTATGTCTCGGGAGGGTAAGTCGACGGCGCGGTGGTCTCAGGCGAGTACGTCTCCGGCGGGTACGTTGCTGGAGCGGTGGTCTCTGGTGCGTATGTCTCGGGAGGGTATGTTGGGGGCTTGGTTGGCGGAGACTTTGTCGGAGGTGACTTAGTTGGTGGCGATTTAGTTGATGGCGTTTTCGTGTAGGAAGGCGATTTCGTGTAGTCCGTTCCCGGCTTCTTCGTCGATGGTGTGTCTGGAAAATCAGGACTCACTGTCACGTCCACACAGTCTAGAGACTCCTCTATCAACGCTAGTACGTCTGCGTACGAGATGCCCGTATCTGTTACTGTACCCGCACTTGGCTTCGCCGCTGGGAACCACAGGAAGTCCGGGTGGTTTTCCTTAGAATGACCGAGCCACTCGCCACCGATGATCGTGTAGTTCTCATCCAGCTCTAAGCAGTACTCGTAGTCCTCATACACCGTGTACGCTGCAATTCTTCCGGTGGTCGTGAGAGCGCCATCTTCAATCGACTCGACCGTCCACGTAAGGCGCGTCGTGCACTTAGCCAAATAGGTCGCTGCGTCATTGAACGGGTACGTAGCAGAGCCAAAATACTCGAGAGACAGCTTCGCTGCATCCACGATCTCTGTCTCCAAGAACTCGTATTTTTGTACGGGTTGGTTCCACACCTGCAAACCTGAGCTCACGTCGACAATGAAGGAGTGCTGCTGCTTGCCTAGGATGTTGGCCACGGCGACGTGAAAGAAGGCCGCGTTGATGTCTCGGCGCGCCTCGTCCTCGTAGCGTCCGTACTTGTCAACTTCCTCGGGGAAATCCGGGCCATTGAAGCGAGCGCCGGTGAAGACCACTTCGATTGCAGCTCCGTCGTAGAGCTGGGTGATGAGTGCCTTCATGTCCACGGAGTGAAAAGTCACGTTGTTCTTCTGGACGTCGCACTTGGGCTCGGCCTCGTACATGGCGGCGGCCGCCCACGCGTGACAGAGGCCATACCACGTCGGAATGCAGAAGCCGTTAGACGCTTCACCTCTGAGGCCGCACAAACTGCCGCCGTCGCAATCCGAGTCACTGGAGCAGGTAGAGCCCCCCGTGTACGACTCTGACAGCACACCGGTACTGAGCGAGATGCCGTTCATGAACGCGTTGACATCGATATCGAAGGCCTTAGCGTACTTCTCGGCGGGAGACGCCTCTCCGTCCTTCCAGACGGCGTTAATACCGTCCCTATACGTCGGCCAAAAGTCTCCGGACCACGGTGGCACGTCGTAGGCGGCGGTCGCGTACGAGTCCTTGAGTACGTTGAAGTTGCTCTCCATGGTTGTGCCGAAGAACGTCTCAAGACGGGCGACGTCCGACAGCTGAGCCTCCAGGTTGCGAACTGCGGCCTTGCCGTTCTGCTCCGTAAGCACCACGGGCTTGACGACCTTGCCGCGCAGGAGACCACCAAAGGCCGGGTGACTGTGCGTCAGCATCGCCGTCTCTCCGAGTGGGGTGACGCGACTTTCGTCGATTGCCTCGCCAAGGATCGCCGACGGGAGCAACGCGAGAGCAAGGAGCGAATACCCCTTCCAGGGTGGAGGCGACAGCATCGTGGATGGAGTGAAGTGTGTCGCAGGAGGAGCCAGTAGATGTGCGCTCGAGGCTGCGGATATCAAAGTGAGCAGGACGGATCAAGTGGCTGGACGTCAGACCAATGGTGGGTTGACATGAGCTTGCTCGTGGCGTGCGTGTGGAGGCAAACCCCGCTACCAGACCCGATCGGACAGCAAAACCTTTTTCGTAGGATCTTGCGTGGCTTTACAGTAATCGTGCCGGTGCCGTACGACGGCACAATTACACCGAAATCGAAGCGTCAAATGGAATCGTGACGTCACCGTATCCCCAACTAGCGAGACGCGAACTAACGGCTGAGGCAGACCCCAGACGTCACTGTATCCTGTTGAGCTAGCCCCGCCTAGCTAACGGGGCTCTATAGGCGCGACCGGCTCAGGTGTTGAGTCTGGTGGAGGTCAGCAAATCTTGGATACGGATCAAGTTGAAGTTAACGATTTGACGATTTAGCTGACAAACGATCACTGCCCATTCCCAACCTGACTTACTGTACAGTACATGTACTTCGAAGTAGCACCAAATGGCTTGACAAAGGACAACCCTCCGCGCCTGATACTGCTAAGCCCCATGCCGATCGGCGAATATCTTGCTCTCGTCCTCGGCTGCTCCGTGATCGAACTCCTTTTAAGCAACTCGATTGTCTTGGCAACACTGCTATTAATAAACTTGGGGACGCTGCTTGTCGAGTTGTGGTGGGGAAGTGATCAAGCCGGTTGCGAAGCCACGAAGCCTCTAATATCATCAACTTCAATTGGTGGCGCTGGTAGGGTGGGTGGCCTGACGGTCGCGCATAATACTGGGCCGGTAGGCATAGAAATGCGGTCTGTTGCGATGGCGTATAACGCCGCCATCTCGAGCGGCAACCCTGCAAAATTTGCTCCAAAGTTGCCAGTCTTTCTTTATTAAGCGGTTGCATCTATTATCCGTGTGCTTCAAGAATGATTATCATTACGCTTCCTCGGGTCAGTACTTCACTTTTTTCACTGTTAATATATTTTTCGCACTCAGATCACCTTAAGTCGAGTGTGAAATGTGAATCTACAATATCTCTAATAATTAAAGCTGCCCCACAACGTCCTACAACATATGCAACACGAAATAATCCATGTGCGCTGGTAGGACTGGACTAAGACAGTTTACCCACAGCAACAGGGTGTACCATAGGATAAAACCGTAGGCAGCGTTCACGAACACAAATAATCTGACTACGATACTTTCCTCGAATGAAATGCGAGACTCGTTGGGAGGATCGATAGACAAACTCATTTGCAAACTTACACTTCACCCTGGAGCATCCCGGAACTTGATACGATGGTGACGATCTCCCGGTCTTTCGTAATTGCTGTTGCCAGTGCCATGGCATTTGCCGCTGTAACTCAAGCCTCGCCGCTTCAATACGACCCGTACACACCAGTGAATACTTCTGTCCCCTTGAATCCGTCGCATCCGGCGTATGGTGCTCAAACAAAGGACAGCATCGAGCCAATCGTGCCTAAAGACCCAAACGAGTCCATGGCCGAGTCGATGACACTACAGAGCTTCGTTTACCGCAAGCTGCACACGATGGAGGACTCAACAAACTCCGACCTCCAGGATCTCGAGCTGTACTTCGGGTCCAAGATGGAAGTCAACTTCCAGGCGCTCAAGCAGCAATACCTGTCGGGTCAAGCACCAATGACACCGTGGGCTAGTAGCTACTGGCCAACCTACCAAGACAGTATCAACCACGTCTGGAAGACTGGCGAGGCCAGCGCTTCCGAGAAATACGCCAAGGCGTACGCCATGAACGTCACCGACTTCAAGGACAAGATATCGGCAAGGAGCGGTATCGATTCGCGTAAACGTAGACCTGTGTGCACAACCAGCTCGGACTGTACGAGCCGTAAGGATGGCAGCGTGTGTGCCAAGCGGGACGGTATGTCCTCAGGCTACTGTATCCCAGCGTGGCTCGGTATCTGCCACGCGTGGGCTCCCGCGGCTATCCTTGAGCCAGAACCTCAGTGCGACGTGACCAAGAACGGCGTCACGTTTCACGTCATGGACATCAAGGGCCTTCTCACTTCTCTATACGATGGAGCCTCCATCAAGACGGTGTTTACTGGTGCTCGCTTTAACGGCTCAGACTCACCGGCGAACAAAGATCAGTACGGAAGATTTACCGACGCTTCCCGTCGTGACTTGGGCGCTGGTTTCTTCCACATCGCTATCACCAACATCATGGCGAAACACAATCAACCTTTCGTCGTGGATGTGACTTCAGGTGCGGAGGTATGGAACCAGCCCGTGCGCTCATTTAAGGTCCAAAATATGGACCTGGTGGACACCCACGTGGCCTCGATGCGCTACTTTGGCGTGCCCAGCTATCCGTTCAGCGACAAGATGGTGCATTTAGCGTACGTGAAGACCTCGTTCAGCTGGGTCGTCGAGTCATATAAAGACGGCCCGCTCGTGTATTCGGTCCAGATTGATTCGTACACGACATTCAAAGACTACGAGTATTTGCGGAGCTGGATGCCGACTACAACATCATCGGAGGCGAATGGTTTAATGAGGACCACCCCGATTTTTTGTGTTTTCCGACGGCCAAACCCGACACAATTACCGTCGCCAGCACTGGTTTAAGCTATGCCAACGTCCAAGAACTGCTCAAAATGTCGCTATCGTGCAATGTGTAGGAAGATACAATTCCATACCAAATTTGTATACTTGTACCAAAATTTATCAAAAAGCGTGTGTTCTTTTAAATCTTATCCCGACGAAAAGTCACAATTGTACGCCTGGAGCCTATTTCTCGTTCTCATCATGCCGGAGCCTCTTCACGTGACCATCATCCGCGTGTGTGCGTCGCTGGCTGCCTGTATGCTGTTTGCGAGTCTGCTGCCGGACATTCGCGTCGTGCACCAGCAGAAAAGCACAGCCAGCATGCCCAGCTCCCTCCCGGTGCTGTCCATGGTGGCGAACTGTGTTGCATGGGGACTCTACGGCCTCCTCATCGGAGACTATTTCCCTCTCGTGGCCACAAACATCGTCGGTGTGGTCTTTTCGCTCTTTTATCTCGTCGTGTACTACTATCATGAGGCCAGCAAAAGGAGATTACTACTCGAGATTCTTGCAACAACACTGGTACTTGTGGGACTGGTACTGTACCCATTCCTTGCGGCGTCCGAAGGAGTAGAAGAGGACACAATCCACAATATTGTGGGGTTTGTGACTGTAGCCATCTCTGCTGTCATGTTCGGATCGCCGCTGGTGCTAGTAAAGAGAGTGATTCAAGAACGCAATACGGAGCTACTACCATTCACTATGATCGTCGCTGGCGCAGTGAATTGTACGTTGTGGCTCGCCTATGGGTTGCTATTGGAAAACTCGTTCGTTATTGTACCGAACGCGGCGAACCTGTTTCTGGGCGTCGTACAACTCGGACTATTCTGCTGCTTCCCACGTGGCAAAACGTACGACACAGTGGAATCCACCACTCCTCGTTCCAAGCTCAACAACGCCGTTAAGAAAGATAAAATAAGCTCGATAGACATTTTAAAGGAGGACAAAGTAGAGAGCAGCTCCACGGTAGTCGACACTGAAGACGAGCCGAGTAGTGTGGACGAAGAGATGGAATCAAATGACGGTACTGCTCAAAAACCTGTCGAGGTGGAGACCAAGATCGACGTGGTGTGAAATATTGGTGATGGGCCCCTCGCTAGCCTTGAACTGTACACAAATTAAAAGACTTGATATATGTAGCTCCAATTTGTTTTTCAATAAAAACAACTGTTAAATAAAATAATTAGCGTTTTTCTTCAGTCTGTGTCCCTATTTCGGGAATGCTTATCGACATGCAGCGGCCGAAGGAACGTAGCGACAACCCCATCGTGTTCTTTGACGTATCGATTGGCGAAAAGAATGTTGGCCGACTGCTTATCGAGGTAGCCTTCTTCAAGGATTTATTATCGTTTACACATGGTATGTTTAACTTATCATCTTTGTGCGTACCGTAGTTGCGGGCTGACATCGTTCCCCGTACTGCAGAAAACTTTCGACGACTGTGTACGGGTGAGACGAGAGAAAATTTGACTGGGCGGCGCCGCCACTACGCACGCTGGTATGCTCGGTTCTTAACTTTTATGCTAAATATGTGGCATAACACCTTTCTTCCCGTATTTTTATATTCAGTCCATTCCACCGTGTTGTCAAGGACAAATTCTGCCAGTCAGGAGACTATGCTGTACGTCGATCCTGCAACAAAGACATTATTTTATCAGTAATTCACGTTTCCTTTCGCTAGAACCACGATGGTTCAGGTGGTGAGTGCACATTTGGTCACAGCCCTCGAGCGATGGACTCGTCGTTTAGGGACGACAAACCTGTCGACACGACCTTGCCAACATTGACATTTGAGGATGAGAACTTCATCTTACGGCACACTGGTGCCGGTGTACTGTCCATGGCCAACTCGGGTCCGGATTCCAACACTTGCCAATTCTACCTTCACTTTGGCCCGGTAAGAGAAGCTGTTTAAAACATGTATCATGTGAACTATCTACTTATGCTTTAGTACGAATACAAAGCAACCCAGCTTCGATGGCAAACACGTGGTTTTCGGGTATCTTGTGGACGCTGAGAGCTATAATGTGCTTGAGCAAATAAACTCAGTAGCAACGGCCAGAGGTGACCCCAAAGAGCTCGTCAAGATATCTCGATCAGGACAGCTCTTCCCTGCCTGAGCTGACATCAATCATGACCAAGTAGATCAATGGCATCCTCTACATAATGCCATAATTTGACATTGCTACTCGCTTTCTTCTCAGTTAAGGAGTGACTACTGTAGTGCACGACTTGAAGACAAAGGAGACGCTGTGCTGTTCCTTCGACTTTGGTGTCTCAGAAGATGAGCTGAATAAATATACTAAACGCCACGGACCGATTGTGAATCCGGTGTTTGGCAAGGTGCACGGCTATTGGATTAACAATGACTACTTCACCCCGTATCGGAACGTCGTGCCGGGTTGCCGCGAATGAGCGCCTGAAATTGCAAGGCTACTGGGACATTGGGTCGACTGGTTCGGGGTTAGGAAACGTGGTACTGTCTTTTGTTCATTTTCGATTAGCGTACTGGAACACCCTTAACTGAGAGAACTCCTGATGTCACGTACACTCCTCGTCACGCCCGCAGAAACCCGGGAGGTATTGAGTTATGGCAATAGTGTCAAGTACCGTATGCTCCGTCGTTCGTCGTGGAAATCGACTTTTTGTCTGAAGAGGAGTCTCTTTTCATGGCATTGGATCCAAAAATGCGAACCCAGTTCTTCCGTCATGGTGTCCAACTGGGTTGTCTGATCGATCCACACCTTGCATACTGCAGAATGTATGAGTACAAATTTGACGGAGGTGGGAGCGTGTATCGAGTGAGCAATGACGAGTGGAGAGACCTCGATGGTGGTGACGTGCTACCAGGGTTCCACGTTGAAAAGTCGGATTTGAAGATGGCCCTCAATTCAGACGCCGACGTTTCGCCAGATGAAGACGAGATCGAGATCATCTGTCCGTGTCGAGGGTGTGGTGAGCGTCTCTTATCTCTTCCAAAATGCAGTAGCCACCTTGAACAACACTGAGCTGAACGCGAGAGACAAAAGTATCTTGCCAAGCGTGCTACACTCAAATATCATTGAGTGCGAGAGCAGACCATAGTCTACATCCTCATCTTGTATTCAGTGCGCGCACTGTGCGCGACAACATCGAGGAAGTTTATTTTTTACCTTAATCTCCTGAATGGGCCATACAGCGTAGTATTATAGTACTACTACAAGCTGTAGTAGTAGAATTAAGTAGTACAATGATACTACTGTACAATGGTACTACTACTAGTAGTTACGCTGTCGCACCAACCTTCTGCATAGAAACAACGAGCACAAGCTAGCCTTTAAATTGACGCGACGCAGCATTAAATACCAGTAAACAAGTTATAGTGAACGAAAAGTGACTCCTTTATCATTCTCGCTCTTAGAAAGTTCTCCTCTCAATGCCAGATAAGACACACAGAGTTCGAACGTGCCAGTGCGCGACTCCATTTCTAGCGTCACAGCGAGCCTAGCACGCTCTCCTTCCAACTACTCAAATGTCCAATTTGGACACTTAGTTGTTGGCCTTCTTCTCCTTGAGCTCACGCTCCTCCAGGATGTTGAGCTTGATGCCCTTGCCCTTGGGCAGCGACACCCACGGACGAGCCTCCTTGCCGACGGCGAACACGTTGCCCAGACGGGTAGCGAAGTCGTTGCCAGCCGAGTCCTTGACGTGGGCAATGTTGAACGAGCCTTGGTGTCTGAAGTAACAGCAATCAGCAATAAGTCAGTACTTTTGTGTCACACCAATAATGACCGGAGGTGTCGGCCACGCTATAAATAAAAGTGTCCCATGATGATGTAAACCACCACACCCAGCTCGCTATGAGTCCAGAAGGTGTGTTCCTACCTCTCAACGTTGTGCAGGATGCCGACACGGCCAGAGTTTCGTCCGCGAGTGATGGTCACCAGGTTGCCGACCTCGAACTTGATGTGGTCCACGACCTTGCCAGTCTCCAGGTCAATCTTGACAGTGTCGCCGACCTTGATGAGCGGGTCCGGGTAGCGGATGGTACGGCCGTCGTTGGTGGCAATGTACGGGATGGCCTTCTTGGTGTACTCCTGACGGATGACCTTGGCGAGCTTAAACTTCTTCTCCTCGTCCGAGATGCGGTGCAGCACGAAGCGGCCCTTGGTGTCGTACATCAGACGGAACTGGTCGCCAGTCTTGGGCAGCTCCACGACGTCCATGAAGCCAGCGGGGAAGTCCGGGTCCACACGGACCTTGCCGTCCACCTTGACGCTCTTCTGCATGCAGATCATGGTGACCTCCTGCTTGGTCAGAGCGTATTTAAGGCGGTTACGCAGAATGATGATGAGCGGCAGGCACTCGCGCAGCTTGTGCGGGCCCGACGACGGGCGGGGTGCCCAGATGCCGTCAAGCTTGCCCAGCATCCAGTGCTTGGGCGCGCTCATGCGCTTCAGGTGCTTACGGGGTCCACGGGGCATCTTGACTACTTGATTGAGACGAAAAGGAGAACTAATGGCGCCGTCATGGTGGCGGCACTTGTTGCCTCGCAAATAGTTGGTTGGCTGGGGATTACAAGGGTTAATGTGCACCACGGGAAAAATGCCGCATATGGGGATTTGTAAAGGAAAGATTTTTATGAAGGAATTTGTAAGAGGTGAATTGGTGGGCACTTCATTCCGGACAGTGTGGTGAGACGATCACAAATAATTTAATGTTTTTATAGTTAAGCGCTTCATAATCTCGTACCTCTTCAATGCGGAACAGCAACAACTATCATGAGTTCTCTTTGTGCAGCGTGCTACCGCCGTGACATCAATGCCGTGCAAAAGTTTGGAGTCACTGGAGCAAGAGCTTCCTGCGGTTACCAAGCTCTCATAGCTGTCAGAAGAAACTTTTCTAGCGGTAATACGACGGGCAAAGGCTTCTGTTTACAAGCTCAGCCGACGCCACACTTTTCGCAAATGAGTCATTACCATTGAAGCCAGAGCATTACAGATTCACACTGCAAATACTTTGCCGTACTACGGTTTCTCAAATTTACACTACTGCGCGCGCCAAGAGAGCCGTTCATTCCCTCTCCAGCGAGCGAAAGCTGTTAAGTACCTGTACCGGATTCAAGTCCCATGTCGAGACTGGAATATGAACAAGCGCTGAGCTTGCAATGCCGGACTTGGTCGACGCCAGCAGTGCTCGGCGCAATCTAGCGCATAGATAGGCTGAAGTATGGCTACATGTACAGTAGGTATCAGCAAGAGGCGGCTCACTTCTCAAAAAAAATCCGAATCGTTGCTACAGCTCCGCCGCGTTCCTCATCGCTCTGTAGTTAAAGCACTCCGCCCATGTCGTCGGCTCCGGATGCTGCAGCGGCTCAGCTTGCCGCATCTGTGGGCGGTCCTTGGGGCGACTTTGTGTCTCGATCCGACGCGTCCATGGCCAAATTACTGCAAGAGTCGCTGCCCAAGACCAAAGCCACACGCGCGAGCTGGTTGGCCAATCACCAGGAATTGGACGACGACGATCGAGTGGATCGAGTCCAATTTGTGGATCTGTATACGAGTTTTGTACTGCTCTTACTGCTGCCAATCGCACTAGTCGCCTACGTGGTTGTCGGACTCGGCGCGATGCCAGCACTTCTGATACTGCAGATCTACAAGACTACAGCTCTAAAAAGACCTGCAAAGAGTATTGAAAGAACACTGGGCTTTCACCTATTAGCGCTCTTATTAGGGATCGAAGCACTCCCGTGTCTTGTATTTGTGCTGGTCTACTGGCTCGGAGCCTTTACGATCATTTTCCTCTTCAGTCTGCTCTATTCATTGGCGTCGCTGAAGATTTTACTGCTAAGAGATAATCTGGCGCTTACACAGAGCTGCAGTCGGTGGCCCAAGTGGAGCTGGAACGATACAGTGTGTGCACTGCTAGGGACCATGGACAGACAAGGGTTCGTCAAGTTTGCACTCAAGTTCCCGTCTGCACTGGTGATCGCGCCACTATTGAAGTATTTATTCGGATGCAACCCACTTCTCTATCGACTCGCGATCCGACAGCGATGTCTGTGGACGTCTCCGCTGGATTTCAACGGTAAGTGTTGAATTCTACGCTTCACGTGGAATCTAACGTTTGTTTTGAAACTAACGTTATGTAGACCAGAAGGCAGTGGCTGCCGTCGTTCAAGCTGCATCATGGACACTCGTTAATCTAACAGACTTGTTGCCGCAACAAGTCAGTCAACCGCCTCGAAAAGATGACCGAATTGTCAGTGGCCACATTCCTTTTCCAGCTCCGGATCGTGTTAGCGGGACAGTAATTGGCGTACTTACCACGAACTCGCTCGTGACGCTCGTCAACGCAGACCACAATGTGAACGGCAGCATTTTCCACAGCATGACAGCGAAGCGCAGTATCTACAACGTGCTGCTGTTCGTCTGGAATCCGTGTCACTATCTAACCGGATACATCGAGATCAACCTGCAGCACGAAGGCGGCATCGAACAAGCCAGTACGAGTTTTTAAAACAGTTTTATTTGCTACGTGTGTTTTATTAACCTGTGTATTGCAGTGTGGTGTCTTGTAGGGGACAATTACCTTGGACACGTGCTGTTTGAGCGCACGGATGCCCTTTTCTGGCACTACGACCCTATCAAACGCGGCCAAACGCAGCCCTGTAGTCTTCGGTTCATTCGCGGTTCTATTGCGTCGACAACGTCAGCAGACTCGGCGACTTTAGACCGGGACAATAACGATGATAGACGTCCTGTTACCGACATTGAAGCTAGTCGAGACAGCTACGGGACGAGAGAAGGTATTGGGAGCTTTGAAAGCGCTTTGAGCCATGGAAGTATTGGCTCCGAGCAGGAGGAAGACGTGAACGATTGTAGTCATCGCGTTAACATTGGTATTTCTAGTAGCTTCAAGTCGTCCCAAGAGATTGTAAATATCTCAGAGGAGAGAAGTACCATGGACTCCGTGGCGATGTTGCAGTCGGATTTCAGCTCTACCTCGCAGTCAGACTTTACTGTCTCGGACCAGCGCCCGGAACGGTTTTATATTATGTAATTTTTAAACAAATACCCTTGTACATGTACAAATACAAAGAAAAAAAACACTGTTTGACAAATAAAAAATAAAAAAAAATGTTTTTTATACGCTATAAGAATCGAAACGTGAAATCGACACCTTTGGCAGCAGATTAGTACACAGTAAGACAAAACGATTGGTATTAACGTACCGAAATGTACAAGTCGAAAGCAAAGCGTGATGAGCATCCAGAACATGAGTTTGCCCTGAACAAGCGGCATTTGTGTCTCCAACACGAATGCGAGTTGATAAACCGCTCGCATCCCGCAGTTTTTTTGAATCAGCATCACCAGTAGAGCAAGCGATACAACTTGTAGCAACGCAAACACGAACACGGGGAGCACCGTTGCACCAACGTTGTCGAGGGTTATTCCCACCAACTCGAAGTGATAGCGTGCGCTCGGTAGGTGCACGATAACGAGAATGTAGACGATGTAAAAGAACGGGATAACAGCCTCTAGATACGACGCAATCACCAGGCATTCCATCGTGAAAAGTGTTTCCAACGTATCTTTTAGGTAAAGATAGCTATCAGTACAGGGAACACGTTCCACGCACTCTATGGGTCGAGTTTCGCTCTTTGGTATACGACTGGCGACGTCCGGATGGATGGTGCCGTTCCGACCTTGAAACAAATTGGCGTGTGGCTTGAGTAGATTCGAGAAGCTGTTGCGAGGTAAAATTTCATCTTTATTGGGGCCTGGCTGATTAATCCCGGTTCTTAGCTTTGAAGACGTTTCCACGGGTGCTTTATCCAGTAAAACCATTAGACTTTCGTCTGCCGCATCCAACTTGTATGGGAGACAGGAGTAAATGCGAATTCCACTTCGAGATTGCTGCTTGAATTTCTGAACATCTCGGCACAATAAACAAAGAGCTTCCAACATATTACCCTTCTCTTGAAAGCCTGGAACACCGTGTCGAAGTCGCTCTACCGCAGACACTGTACAGTGATGAATCCCGTACAACATAATCAGTGTTAGAGAAAGATCGACGACCATGATGACGGTGATGGTGAAGAGGGACGACGCACGCTGCATACATGTAGCCATGTAGATCGAATTGAACAAGTCCACTGTAAAGATCACTGTCTCTGGAGTTATATCTTCCATGTGCGCGGTCCGCCGTCGCATTATATTTTTTAATCCGATCTTCATCACGGGAAGAAGAAGAATTACGAAAAGTTGGAAGTGAGTTCCGTGTGCAGCGTGGAATAGCGCCTCGTAGGCAGGATAGATGAAAATCAGCAGACATTTAGCGTTGACAAAGTGCAAATATCTCGTCAATTGACCGCGATGAGCCATAATTTGATGAATTATCCGCGTGCCGATGATCACTCGAAAGGCGATTAGCAATACCACGCTGAGTACTGGAAACATCGCCAGCAGGAAAAATGGAACTGGGAAAGGAAGATGGGCACATACGGCCATGGAACCAGCGACAACACTGACCGAAGAGACGAAAGATAACAGCACCAAACGCATGGCCGGGACCTTTACGCCATCAATGAAGTATGTCGCTTGAACAGTGAGCGTGGGGATGCCGACAAAGACCAGTATCGATGTTCGGACCCAAAAGCCGTAGTTGGAACTCCATCCATCGCTTGGGTCTTGTAACGGTACCAACTCCTGACCGAGTACGAGTGTAACCATGGGAAGTGGAGTGATTAAACATACGAGAAGAGCGTGCAATGGAGGTGTTATTCTGGTGTATGTCTCCAAGGCTAGCATTCGGTGGATGGAGTAAGTGCCACCGTAGTAGCTCACCTGAAGTCGTTATCACGCATGGAGAAGCTTAAACCCCCAAGAAGAAACGAGTGATTGCATTTGACGCTGCGCGCGACCGTATTTTTGGTACTTTGGCCACAAACAACTTCACTCCATATCTATTCCTGGCATTTTGGCATTCGGCTTCAATTTCTAATAGCTCCGACCTGAAAAGCCGGGCGCACCATCTTTTTGCACAACAATTTCTGCAAGCTTTGATACTGTAGTCGAAGCGCTACAACTTCACGCATACATAAATGTAGCTCATTAGTGTTATTAATATGCAACAGTTTCGCTTGACCGAATTCTTGGGTTTACCAGCATTAAACTTGATTTTGTAAAAGAACTTTGATCGTTTGGGGAAAAGAACTCAGCCCAATTGGTGCAATAACCAGGTAAAAATTCCATCAAGTTCAGCAACGAAACGTACTTACAGTATTGCAAAAATCGCGAAGTGAAATAATCCTCGACTGTAATTGGTCAATACTCAAATAAATTATCGGGACACGGAGGAAGCGGCACGCGTACAGTATGTTAGCACTGTCTAGCAGGAGCGGAACTTCGGTATAAGGGGGGACATGCCCCCCCCCCCCACTTTTAACAAATTTTTGGCGATATCAATAAAAACATTTGGCAAAAAAGAGCACTATCCCCTACCCCCACCCCCTATTTTTTAGCTGCCCTCCATAAATATCGGGCCCTGCTGTCTAGCACTGCCTGTCTACACACATCAGGCTTGGATACTCCAGGAGCTACCTTACTCTGTCCCTAAGGGCCTGTTCGCGTTGTGCCTGGAGATGGAGATGATTGTGGTGTCCTACGATCTCCACCTCCAGTTGTGTCGCTACGTTCCTTCTCCAGGTGCACTTTAAACCAATCAGGTGCCGATACCATGTGTGGACACGGCACTCACAACCTAGAATCGAGAAGTCACATCCTCATCTTCACGCTCTCCTGCAGAACAAAGAATGATGCAGTTAAGGTCTGAAGACGCCACTCAACCAGAGGACGACGCAGCTATCATACCGGTACACACTCGTACCAGCAGTGGTCAGAGCGCACCACGCCGCAGGAATCAAGGCAGGAACGAGACAAAGCACCCATTTGCGTGGACAGTAAATGCGGCTGAGGTGCTGCTGAGATTGCGATTCGATAGCCTGAAGGGGTTGTTTGATGGCACTAAGAACTCGAAGCAGTTGAGTGCTGCGTGGGATTACCTAGCTGCAGAGACTCACCGTATTGGTGGCCTCGAGGTTGATGCTACCCAGTGCAAGTCAAAGGTACTGTGTATGAGTCTAGCGCTACATTATACGTACAGCAGTTATAAGCAGTACAGCCGCTTGTCCTACTGCAGCACACACAGCTAGCAAAACGTTTTCAATGTCCTCCTCCATAACAAATTGTGAGCCTCTCGTCTCTACCTCCGTCTCCTGTCTCCACCTCCAATAGGTGGAGAAGGATATCACCTCTAATCTCCAGTTGTGCAGTTGTAACAAATGGTTTTTGGCCAATCAATTGTTAGACGTATTTAGTGAGATGGGACCATCTCCATCTCCAGGCACAACGCGAACACGCCCTAATAAATTAGAGCACACAATCGGCAACTGGCTGCAGAAATATAGCGAAACCGGGGCTTTTGAAAGCTCCAGCACCACCAGAGAGCAAAAATACACGGAGGCTCAGCGTGCAGGGTTGGTTAACTTCTACCATCAGTACCCGCTTTCATTTCTTTATGAAGCACGTGCTACGCATATTAGAGCGCACGGCTCAGTGATTTTCGAAACAAATGTCAGGCAAATCCTCCACGCTCGGACTTACTTAGGGATTATTAGAGCATCGCGCTATTCATGTCAAAGTGCAAGACGTTTTTTGCTCATGAGAGAGCTAGATTAGATTGCGTAGAGTCCCCGGAACCTTGTGCTCCTCGTTAAGGTTATCGTTCGACAATAGAGGCATGGTTCGGAAGCGTGGGTACAATGTCGGAGAAAAAATGTTTTAATTCGTGGTGAATTTGTGCGGAAACCGTGAGTCTCGGTACTAGCCTTCATCGGTGCTAGCGGCGTGATCCACTATTTTAATACGGAGGGAACTTTCGATCGGCTAACGTTCGTCTAGTGCTACAGTATCAATATTTAGTACACGTTGGCAGAGGCCTGATACGCCAATACCCTGGACAAATTCCGTCTAAATCATGGATGGGGCTACAATTCATCGTCATCCGGATTTTTTTCATTACATACGAGGCGCTGGCGTCGTCCAGGTCTTTTTACCGGCATACTGCCCGTTTTTCAATCCAATCGGTCCCTCTTTGGTTATATCAAACGGCCCAATCACCGAAACTACACCAAACCCAACGTGAAATATCTAGCACCATTTATCGTAAAAACATTCGAGCACTTCCGAGGTTTTAATGAGCTTTGAGCACTGCAGCTGGAAACGACAAGGCTACTTTGATCCAGTGGGCCCAATACTAAGTGAGAGTAGTGTTCAAGTCGGCATTGTCGAGCGCAACCACGATGAGCTAAATTTTAGCGCATTTTAATTCAATCCTTGCTAAAAGTATAGGCTAGCTTATACTCTGCGTGCTCCGTGTCCTCAACGTTCTCGATACGACGCGGCGGATCGATCACATTATATCACTATAGAGCGCCGAAATCCCTCGATGATGCTCTTGCGAACTTTCAGTCGACGCTCATTTTCCAGGAGCTGTCGTCCGAACGCTTCCCATGCCCTACGCAATTCTTTGTAGTCTGCAAGATCCTTACTCATCTTCCAGGGCTGTGTTTGCAGATTGAATAACCTCTTCTATGGGCTCCTCCACTTGGGAATCAACAGACTGTAGTAAATTTGCGATGTACTCCCGTGTCGGCTGTAGAACAGCCGCATCCCACGTGAATCGGCTCTCGTTCCGCGTGAGATCATTCGAAACCTTAACCCCCTTACTTACCGTATCCAACGCTAGAAGTGTATACCCTAATCCATTTTTCACAGCATCTATTTAAAGCTCGATCATCCAATATAGACGTCAATTACACTATAATTTTGTATGATGACACATCACATTAGAAATCTTTTTCAAACTAAGATAGTTTGCATGTCAAAAAGGCGAATACACAGGTTTACGCTAACGATTCCCCATCCCTACATGAAGGGTCCAGGAAACGAGCTACCCACCCACATCCAAGGAGAAGCCAACAGCCACAAACATTCTCATTTACGAAAACGCGCCGGCGACGAAAGAGGATAGACCCGGTTAAAAAGTCGCCGCAGAACAAGCTAGCGACAGAGCAGCACCGCTTGTGGGCTGAGGCTCAGCGTCGAGAGCACCGCCTTCGATAAACGAAGCAGAAGAAGAGCGAGTCCAAGACAAGCCCTCCGCCTGCGAGCACGCCGCCTGCTACGAGCATCGGTGAGGCGAAAGATGTGGCGCCACCAAAAGAGACGAGAGCAAAGAATTTAAAGGCAGCGAAGAACGTGGTGGTGGCCAAGGATGTGGTGAACGGAGTGCATAAGACGAAGGCAGTGGCGAAGGATAGCGAGACTGCGGGAAGGAGAAGACTGCGACAAAAGCTGTGGTGCAAGCTCTTGCACCACCTTCCGCAAGTCACGATAGCGCAGCGGTGGCTGCGGTTGTTGATGAGTTGGTGGCATCCGCTGCAAATGCTGCAGCTTCGACACCTTCCTGGCTTGCAGCACTAGCAAGAGGCGGACATTAAACCAGCAAGAGAAGGCGAAACAATCCGACCAAGAGTCTCCACGCCGCACCGTGTTGCAAGACGATAACGATAGTGAAAGCAACAATGAGGCAGGGTATGCTGGCTATGGGCTTACATAGGAAAACCGCCCGTGAAGAGCATACAGCATAACATCTAACATAGCTGGTTTGCTGCCTGGTCATGCAGATATCACCAAGCTGAGAAGAAGACCAAGGCAGCGCAGATGATGCTACGTTTCCGACACCCTTTTGTGTTATCGACACGAACTCGAACCTCATGGTGAAAGGAGCGAGCCAGTGCACATGCCTCAGCTCGGACGAAGATCCGGACATGCGTGAAGAGCCAAAAGAAGAGGAAGATGCTGATGATGACGTTTCATAAATAATTTGGACTGGGATATCGGTGATATGACCGATGAGGAATCAGACGAAGCGGTGGAGGAGCTTCCCGACTCGGTACGGTGCTCATTTGTGAAGAACCCTCTGCAGATTACATCCATGCGACACAGTGGATGGGAGTGCGGTACGATATATTAGCATTTCCAACTTGACGAAACAGGAGATATTAACAAGCCAACATTAAGTCACGCATAACACTTTGATGCCTTTGATAATGTGCTCAGACCAAAGCAAGTTCGGCTCTGACCCCAAAAACGACGACCTGGTCAAAGCCTCTTCGGAATTAGCGACAGCACCATCAGTGTGGCAAATGACCCATTGGCGCTACAATTATTCCATATCATGGGATAACTTCATTTCTCAAGCAACAAATCACCCTAAGCTCGTGTGGAAACGTGGTGAATCTTGCCCGTGGTGAACGTGCCACAGCTGACTTTTGCTCGAGGGTACATAACTCCCCCGTTATCCGTATCGATGAAGCGACATTGCCGTCGCGTTCTTCTCAATACCATGTGAATCTTCAGCAAGGACAAGCACCACAAGTGGGATACAAAGGTGTTCGTTCCTGCCTGTGCGAGCACAACATAAGGCTTGAGGAATGTACGCACTCACAAGGTCGTGACAAGCTGATGTTTGTCACCTTTGTTTTTTTTTACCTAAGTGCTTATGTTGGATTGATATCAACATAAGTGATTGCCCCTGCGAGGATATCCAACATTGAGCTAGCGTTTATTCGGGTTGCTATTATGCTACAGGATTGTGGTGTATTGTG